CGCGTATTTCACGCGTATATGCGTATTTAAGGTGTTGTTGACATGTTAAAATTCACTGTTTTTGGCCTTTTTGGCCTTCCATACCCGTATGAAGTCGAACGCACCTTATGTGTCATGTTGTGATTGGTTGTTTTGATCACATGGTTCTCTGTTCTGTTTTCTCATTGGTTCATTGTCTTTATTGTTCACAGATGCCTTTAGTTAGTGATTAGTGTCTTTGTATATAATAGCCCTCATGTACCATTGTCTCTTGTCTAGCTTTGTTTGTGTAACCCACTGTTGGTGAGTTTTGTTTCTTTTTTATGTTCTTGTTTTGCCAAGCCATGTCTTTGTTCATTGTGTATCTGCTCATGTTTGGATTAAATAAAAGCTGCAGATGGGTTCTAATTCAACTTGCCTCAGTGGAATACATTACACCAAGGCAATATTCTCATTTTTATTTAGTTTTTTATATACTATAATAAATAAGTTTAGTTTATGTACTAGAATAATTAAAACTGAAATAAAATTATATAGACATTGAAATTGTATATATTAAAATGATAACAATATCAATAATAAACACAACAATATTACACAGTAAAATCCTGAATGTTAAATTAACACTGCTCGGAGCATATATGGTCCCACTCTAAAATAGTGTTAAAGTAACACTGAAGCAGTGTTAAAGTTAATGTCACTAAGAAGTTAAAGAAGTCAGTTGTAGTTCTCGTGCTTCTCTTTTCTTCGGTGATTCTGCCTTTTATCATCAGGTGTTCATCACTAATGCTCAATCAGCACTTAATTAATCACATAATTATCTCATTCACTTTAACACTGCTTCAGTGTTACTTTAACACTCTTTTAGAGTGGGACCATATATGCTCCGAGCAGTGTTAATTTAACACTCAGGATTTTACTGTGTAGTAAAACTTTAACTAAAATTAAGACAAAAATAAAAATGGATTCAAAATTCATCACAGCTTTTCTGAGTGTAGTAAACCCCACTTGAGTGCCATGGATATGTTGTCATTTATGCGGTGGGTGTGTGAATAGTTCCTGATTTTTAATAGTCTCTTTAAATGTGAAATGGCACATTATAAGAAAAAAAAACAAACTTGAAATTAATACTGTTCTCTTCTCCTCAGGTCCAGCAGTACCAGTAGGTGTTGATGTACAGGTAGAGAGTTTGGACAGTATCTCCGAAGTAGATATGGTAAGAAAAGTTTTATTATTTGATCAGTGATTGTTATAAATTGTTTATTATAATGTAAGGCATATTTCATTCCAAAAACAACTATATTGTACATAAAGAAAATGAAGCCATTAAAATTTTTGCATTAGCTTTGCATAGTTGTCATGGCTATTAAGCAAACAAACAAACAAACATTAATGCCAAAAAACAAACAAACAAAACCAAAACACTACATTAATGAAAATCTCCCTTTCTTTTAAAATCAAAATCGGCATTAATTAAACTCAGCACATTAAGAGTGATACATGCATACTTTACAAATTGAAATAATGTATGATTTTTGCCCATTAACATAATGAGAATGTGATTATTAACATTAAAGTAGGCTACTTGCAGTCCAAATGTTATCAGGGAGATTGCATGGATTATATATGGAGCTCAGCATTTGTGATTAACCTTTCCTTCTGAAAGCATCAGAGATGTGTCTAGACATGCTTTTATTTAGCATATCAGTGCCGATGTTTACGAGTGAGCATGGATTTGATTTTACATAATATGCTAGAGGATAATCCATGAGGTTTACGCAGTGACATCACAGAGAATCAGCCAATCAGGATCAGTCCATCCCGTTTGATAAAGGCTTGTAAAAGTGCTGACATCCCTCAGTAATGCCAACAGATTGGTAATATTTTACAAGGCTTTAGGCAGTTTGAAGGTGCATGTCAACACCTTGCATAAAAGCTTTTTTTTCAGGTTTAAATTGGACTAAGCAAATTTATTTTGTAACCACATCAACAGTATCTGCACTGTTAAAGCTGCACTAAACTGTTTTATTCTATATTCTGTTATGGTTGAGATCACATGATCAGATGGTATTAGTAACAAGACAACTGTCATGTCGGCTAGTCAAATATAAACAAAACCAAACTAAAAAATTACCAGGAATTTACAGGATCAAAGAGTATTATTTTACAATAAATTACTGTAGTCAGAAATTTGCTTTGAAATAAATGCATGCTGGGTCATTTTCTTGTAAACTTCCTGTGCATGAACAGCAGAATGATGCTAACATCACAGTAATTTACTGCTCTTGCTTTACTGTGAATTCACATTATAAAGTAGTCTTTAACTGTGCCACTGTGAGAAATTTAGTTGTTTACTACTGTAATTGTTTTGAAGTCATCATAATGGTGATTGGTGATCCTATTTGTTTGGGCTCTTCGACCTTGCATATTCATATTCAAATTTCTGATCTAGTCATGTCAGAAGTGTGACAAATGAAAACATTTGTTAAAATGATGATAAGCTAGAATATGAAATAAGCTAATTGCCTGACTTTAAAGGAGTCATATGACATTGCTAAAAAGAACATTATTTTGTGTATTTGGTGTAATGAAATGTGTTTATGCGGAAAAAAACACATTATTTTCCACATACTGTACATTATTGTTTCTCCTCTATGCCCCGCCTTTCTGATTTTGACAAAGCTCATCGGTCTGAAAAGCGAGGTGTGCTGTGATTGGCCAGCTATCCAGTGCGTTGTGATTGGCCGAATACCTCAAGCGTGTTACGGAAATGTTACGCCCCTACCATACTGTGATCCATAAAATGTGCTGCACACATCTGAATATTTGGGTTGAAGTGTTCTGGAACAGTGTTGTAAATACAACTTAACCACTGATTTCTAGTCGTGTCCATTTTTGGAAGGCCAAACAAAGTAGTTTCACTTTCACAACGAAACACAGCATCACACACGGCGGCGGCCTAGAGTGAGCAGAGGCGGTGGGCTTGAGAACGGCGCGGCCGGCGGATTCGACGAAGGAACTTCCAGAGGGCTTGCGGCAACCACATGTGACGACCCCTGGGCTGGACTCCGCTTCGTCCACGGTGAAAGCCGATCCGGCGATCCACGGCGCAAAGTTGTTGTATTTCCTCAGCGACCAGCACGGATCAGCTCCAGGCATGACGAAGATTTATTTGAAGATTTGTTCTCATGCTATGGGTGATTTCAGGTTTTATTCATGCACTGTAAAAAAAAATTGCCATGAATTTACGGGATTAAAGAGTATTATTTTACAGTAAATTACAGTAGTCAGAAATTTACTGTGAAATCAATGCATGCTGGGTCATTTTCTTACAAATGACTGTGAATGAACAGTAGAATGATGCTAACATCACAGTAATTTACTGCTTTTGTTTTACTGTGAATTCACATTATAATCACATTATAAAGTGTGCCACTCTGAGAAATGTAGTTGTTTACTACTGTAATTGTTTTGAAGTCACCATAATGGTGATTAGTGATCCTGTTTGTTTGGGCTCTTTGACCTTGCATATTCATATTCAAATTTCTGATCTAGTCATGTCAGAAGTGTGACAAATGAAAACATTTGTTAAAATGATGATAAGCTAGAATATGAAATAAGCTAATTGCCTGACTTTAAAGGAGTCATATGACATTGCTAAAAAGAACATTATTTTGTGTATTTGGTGTACAAAATAGCATGAACATGTGAAGTTTTTATTTTAGCATTATTTAAGCATGAAGGTTAATCAATAACTTATTTCATATTCATAACTGTTTGTGGATGGATCTTTCACAATAGTGAAGCAACTGCTGAGAAACAGCTTTGAAAGATGTGACATCAATTCTCGAAATACAAAACACAACAATGGTAACACTCAATAAATAAAACAACACTTACAACATCAACCAACAACACAAACTGCAAAAAGTGAACCAAAAACAAGTTATAGCACAAATAAAACCAAGAATTAAAAACTCTACAGCATGATCTATTCATGCTGCATTGTATGCTGGGTGCCTTCAGAGTACATCTGCACTGTAGAAACACAGTATGTAGTATCTCAGTAAATTTCTGAGAGTGCAGTTAAAGACAAGAGAAGTCCCACTGTGAAATTACTGTGAAAGCAATGCAATTAATAACCTGGAATACACTGTAATTTCACACTAAAAATGTTAACGGTGCATGCATGTAGAATTTAAGGTGACAGATATTCAGTTATTGAATATATTGGACATTTGCACATATTCAGCCACAATGAAAGTGGTTGCTGCACATACTTCATAAAGTTTTTTCATAAAGTGTTTATCTCAGGATTTGTCACATGCAAGCCCTTTAATAATGTGTTTTGAATGTGCTTTTTGCTTAAAGCTTGGAAGCAGAAAAAAATATTGATTTGCTTAACCACCAATAACCAATATAATATTTATATACTAAACATAATATATACTAAAAATATTTTATTAATTCAAGTATATATTGAAGCTTATTTCCCATTGACCCCCTATTATTCTTAAAGGTATAGTTCACCCAAAATGAAAATGTTGTTATCATTTACTCAAAAATTGTGAATTGAACTGAACGTATTGAGCTCTGTTGTCATCTATTTTTTTTAAGAGGAAAGCATATATATATATATATATATATATATATATATATATATAAGCTTGAAAGTCAGTCTCTTTTCCCAGTAAAACCAATAAAAGCATGACTTTCGATGGTCGATTGGTAAAAAAAATCTGGGTGCCTGATGTGTTCTTTGTCCATTCCAAACGATCCTTCATCCACGACACCACCACGGAGAACATCATGATCAGGGTCTATCCTGATGGACACGTGCTCTACAGCCTCAGGTTTGGACAACAAACATAATTTACGCAAGTATATCAGCACAAATGTTTGGACAATGCATTGCAAACCTTAACCTGCATGTTTGCATACATGTAGTTTTTATTTTGCTGTCATAATCATATTTGACTGTTTTTTTTTTTTTTGGGTGTTTCAGGGTGACTGTAACTTCGGCATGTAATATGGACTTCAGTCGGTTCCCGTTGGACACACAGACCTGCACGTTAGAGCTGGAGAGCTGTGAGTGACATGCAGTTCTCCTGATTTGAAAGGAATAGTTAAAGGAATGATATTGTTTCTTCATGGTAACAGATTTGGAGAAAATCTGATGAAGAAACAAAATCATCTACTTCTTGAATGGCCTGAGGCCGAGTAAATTTTCTGCATATTTTCATTTTTGTAAGAACTATTTCTTTAATAAGTTCTTTAACTATACTTTAATAGTTTCTTAAACTATTTCTTTAAATATCACATCAGAGTCTCAGCAAACAGTGGTTCATGTGCTATGCGTCCAGATGCTTACACTGATGAAGACCTGATGCTCTACTGGAAGAGTGGAGATGAATCACTGAGCACAGATGACAAGCTCTCACTGTCTCAGTTTCTCATTCAGAAGTTTCATACCACCTCCAGACTGGCCTTCTACAGCAGCACAGGTGCACATGCCTAATTTTAAATAGTAAACTAGGCAGTTCTCTTTCAGTTTCAGAAGATACAGGCTGTCTACTAGTGCATGACGTGCCAGACATCTTGCACAAATGCCTTTTTTTTTTTTTGCATGCATATAAAGAATCAGAATCAGAAGGAGCTTTATTACCAAGTGTATTTACACTTTGTAACAAGTACAATTTGACTTGGCAAAAGGAGCTTCTAGTGCAGAAGAAAGTACACACATAGTGCAAACATACATGATAGTGCAGACATGCATAGAATTACACCGTAAAGATGAAATGACACTAATATAAGAAAAACAGAAAAATAAATAATGCACTATATACAGAAATAGAAATATATAGAAAAAAACATATAATTGTTTGAATGAATGTACAGGTATGTTATTTACAAGTGTACCGTTTATGTAGTTTACAATTTCCAGATACTATGTATAAAAGTGTCAGATATAAAGGGCTAAATCAGTTTATTTGGCATCTGATTTGAGCAACTTTGGACTTTGTCATGAGTGGCTTCTTTTTGCATGCATTTTATATGCACGCATTATGCGTTTAAGGCAGTCATTAAATTGAAGCTCATGGAAACAGAATGCAGCAATTATGGTAATGTGATTATGTTCATTACACAGCAAAATCATCAGTGTTAAATCAATATAGTTCAGTGTTTATATGTTTCTTCTCTACAGAGAGTAGAAGTAACACTAAAGTAGTGTTGCTGTTAATTAATAAAACAAGTTCACTCTACATGTGATTATTGTCCATTTGTGACGACACCTGCTGTTATCAAGCATGAAGAGACAAGAAGAACAAAAAAGAGAACAGAGTGACCATTTGTAAAAATGTAATTAACTTAAAAAATTGAGAATAGCTTTTTAAAAGGTATTTTTTAGGTTTATTCATTTTTTATTAAGGTTTAATTTTTCAAGACTTGGGTGCTCAAGAGTACCCTTAAGAAACTATATTTAAGTTCAATCCTTGCTCAGATTTCAGAATCAGAAAACTGCATTTTCTTTTACTAGTACCTGTTCTCATTTCATATCTCCTGCAGGCTGGTACAATCGTCTTTACATCAACTTCACTCTGCGTCGTCATATCTTCTTCTTCCTGCTTCAGACGTACTTTCCCGCCACTCTGATGGTCATATTGTCATGGGTGTCCTTCTGGATCGACTGTCGAGCTGTTCCTGCACGAGTCTCGTTAGGTGAATTCATTGGGGAAACCAGTGGGATTGTTTGACTGAATGCTTAAATATGTCCAGGATTTCACAACCATTGTTGATATAAGCAGTTATAGATACAAATATTTCTTACAAAGATTTCAGATTTTAGATCAAGAATATACAATAAATTGAGTCTGCCAAACAAAGCAATGCGACTACATTCGTGTAGGGGACTGTGTGAAAAGAGTATTTGTTATTGTTCTGTTTTTAAATCAAGGTTGAAAACTACAGTGTGTATTGAAAAGAATCACACCTATAAAATAATCACATTTTGTTGCTTTGCTGCCTGAAATGACGACGGACACAGTTTTTGTTTTATCCAGCTGTATTTACTCAGTGCAACTTATAACATCCAAGTGAAAGATATAACACCAACATGTCAGAAATTAAAAAAAAAAAAATTATAAACCAGAATACTGAGTTGGAAAAAGGATCACCCCATAAAGATGACTTGTAAACTCAATCAGGTGTAGCTAATCATCTTCTCAATGGCACACAAAGCCATTTGACTTTCAGCTGTGATCAGCTGTGCTCATTTTGATCAGCTCAGTATGAAAGGAGCTTTCCTGGAGCATTTCAGTCCTTGGTAGTGCAACTGACGAAAACAATCAACTATCGGTGGCAAGACACTGTCAAAAGATCACCGGGATAAAGTTGTGGACAGGCACAAGTCTGGGGATGGATACAATTTTTTTAAAGCCTTTATTAATGCCTAGAAGCACAGTGAAGTCTGTTATTAAGAAGTGGAAGGTATTTGGTACAACACAGACCCTCCCTGGATCAGGAATTTAGTTGCAGGAGTTTATGAGAAAGAGTGGTCATTGTGTGCATGTGACAACAATATCACAAATTCTCCATAAATGTGGCTTGTATGGGAGGGTTGCAAGAAAAAAGCCACTCCTCAAGAAAGGCCACATGCAGTCACGACAGAGCTTTGCCAAAACACACCTTGAAGATTCTGAGGCAGATGAGACTCAAAATTAATTATTTGGCCTCAATACCAAACAATATGTCTGGCTGAAATCCAATACAGCTCACAATCCAGATAAATATTCGGGCAAATATTCCAAAGTCGAGATGTGCAAAGTTAGTAGAGACAAATCCTAACATACTAAAGGCTGTAATTAAAGCAAAAGGTGGTTCAACAAAATACTGACACAAGAGCGTGATCCTTTTTCCAACTCAGTGATTCTGTTTTAAAAAATGTTCTGACATGTTGGTGTTATATCTTTCACTTGGATGTTATAAGTTGCACTGAGAAGGAAAACACACATAGCAAGGGTAGACATATACAAGTCCGGACAAAGGACAACAGAATGGGCTAGGACTCAAGTAGGGCAGATAACGAGGGGCAGACAGGTGAGGAGGATAACTAATAACAAGGAACACTGGGTGGGCACTCTGGAGGCCCCTCAGGTTAAATATACAGTGGGTACGGAAAGTATTCAGACCCCCTTCAATTTTTCACTCTTTGTTATATTGCAGCCATT